GATCCTCCTGGATTAGTGTGAAACACTTGTGTGTGACTGGGGTTACACAGAGAGCAAGCATGAAGTGGCCAGGCCTTGGGATGGAGTGGGCAGGGAACCTGCTGTCTGGTGTAGGTGTGGGAACAGTGTGGGTGCATGTTACTGTAAGGCGCTAGGTATCTCTGGGGCCGTGTACACATACAGGCTATCAGAAGGGGTCAGGACTACAAAAACAATTTTATTAAGGAGACAGCATGCGGTTATATAATGAGACCAACCTGGGCTTCAGGAGCTCCTGTCTCCAGAGGAGGTGTAAAAGAGGGGCAGGCTTATCTAAGGCAGAGGCAGGGCCAGTTGAAATTGCATTGGGCTGGCTCCTAGGTCTTCACAGTGAAACTTTCATTTTTACCTTGATTACTAGGCTTAGATCCACACATGTGCTCCTCCTGAGTTTCTCTTTCACCTTTTTCATTTCTGAGACACAGTCTCACAATGTAGCCTTAGCTAGCTTAGAATTTGCTATGGAGACAGGTGACAGACGCTTACAGAGATCTGCTTGCCCCTGCCTCCTGCGCTGGGACCAGGTGTGGGCCACCATGCTCAGGTCCCTCTTTGACTGCTCCTTGTGATGCTTCCGCTTCCCACGTGAGCTCCACAGGAAGCCTGGAACAGGCCAACTCTGGAGTGCAGGGCTGGACGTTTCTCAGGCGTGTGTTCTGGCTGTTCTAGGAAGGAGAGGACAAGATCTTCCTGATCAACAAGCTTCACTCTGTTTACGAGGAGGAAGGAAGGAACCGGTGATGGCGGAGGCCTGTGTGAGTGGGTTGGGGAGGAAGGAGGGTACACGGAAAGCTCCTGTGTCAGTGGTACTCCCTTGGTGAGGTGTCTCTGGGCTCCAGGAGTCAGCTCCTGGCTTGCACCACCCTCTGCCTTTGTCCCTGTTGCCTCCTGTTAAAGCTGGGATGGCGGCTGCTGAGATGCAGGGATTTGTGTAATCAAGACACCTTGGGGATGAAGAGCCACATTCAGGCACCAATGAGGCAGACCAGCTTTATTTTATGTTTTAAACATTAAAAAAATATTGTGCTGGGTCTCTGTTTGAGGCTAGCCTGATCTATCAAAGTGAGTTCCACGACAACTAGGGCAGTTATATACAGAAACTGTCTTGGAAAAAGCAAAAAGAAAACTTTATGTGTATGGGTAGTGTTTTGCTTGCATGGATCTCTAGGTCATGTGTGCCTGTGGAGGTCAGGGGGCATCAGATCCCCTGGAACTGGAGTTAAGCTGCCATGTGGGTGCTGTGAATTGAACCTGCGTTTGCTGGAAGAGCAACAAGTGCCACCTCTGCATTCTCACAGACTAGTTTTATAGTGACTTTGAAAACGGAAGGATTTCTCCCTGCTGAGTGGGGCACAGACACCATGTTACACTGCACACATACTGAAGTCCCCCCACCCTCCAGCAAGCTGAGGTCTGTTCCCTCGGGCCAAGCCTGCTGGACCTCAGCTCCAACCACGAGGGTTCCTCACACTGAAGGCATCTCAGAACATCCAGTCATCCTGGGCCTTGGGCAACCTTGCAGGGGAACCCGAGGTCAGACAGCGCTGCCTTTGTGCCTTGTGGAGACTGGAGTTTTCCTTAGCAAGGTGGGGGTGTGAGGAGCAGTGGTGGTCTTAGTTCCATCTGCTCCTCACAGCTGGTGTATGTGCTGTGCTCCTTGAGTCGCTGTATTGATGACAGACAGGCCTTCAGTGAGGGGACTGTTACTGCTCCCCACAAGGCTGCTGATACACCAAAGCTTTGGACTACAAAGTGGCCAGTTCACATGGCTCAGCAGTTCTCTAGCAAATTCCTGGAACGTCAGCCTTGTCCTCACTGCTGTGTGGGACCTGGCATGAATTCTCTGGGCCTCAGAGCATCCACCGACCTACCATCCATTGTTGGGTCACCCTAAGTTTTGTTTCTGGCAGGCCTGGCAGAACCCAGGAAGCTACCTGTGCCATACCACCTACCTTGTCCAAGGATGGAGGGGACAGAAAGGAACTGTGTAACCCCAGTCACCATGATCCTGCAGGCAGAGACTTGGACCTGAGCTCCCCAAAGGACATGGCAGTACAGTGACTTCCTACAAACTCAAGTTGGCATGGAGCAAGGATATGGGACCCCTTTCCCTGGCTTTTATGGGTGGGGAGGGTGTATCTACATAGCCCTGGGTGTCCTGGCACTCACTCTGTAGACCAGGCTGGCCTTGAAGTCAGAGATCCACCTGCTTTTCCCTTCCTGTGCTGGAACCAAAGGCATGCACCCTTTTTAAAATTCTGATTAAATGGGTTTTGCAATATGAGTTTGTATTCTGGGATGAGCTTGGGACCTGTACCTGCCAGGTGCTTGTTGCTTGGGATCCACTAGGCCTTCAATGGGAAGCTCAGGGGTTGGGTTAAGTGAAGGCCGCCCTCTACTGGTAGAGAGGAAGTGGCTACGTTCTCCTGAGCAGGATGGAAAAGTCTGTGCCTGGGGGAGAAACCAACCAATCAGTGGTGATGTCATGTGGCCATAAAAGGAGTGCAGATTCAGGGAGGGGCTCATGCCAGGGACAACCTGATGCTTCAGGTGAGAAGCCCTTCAGAAGAGAGACTGCCAGCATCCTGTCTAGGAGGTGAACAGTTTTCTTTCTGCGAGATGCTCTGGGTGGGCTGAGCCCAGGAGCTTGCAGAGTGCTCTAACCTGACACTGTAGCACAGGGCCCCGCAGGTCTGGATGGCCTTCACTGGCTCATCTGCTGGGGCACTACCTTGGGTTGGGCGGGACCTGCCTTCTCCATTTGTTAGTGAAGACTAGCCCCGCTGGCCACCAGCCATTCCCCAGCTGATCCAGTGTCACCCCTAAGCCCAGCCACATGAAAAGCTCATGCCATGTGTCTCAGCCTGTTACAGTTGACACAGGCTGGATGGTGTCTCCAGGCAGCAGTAATGAACACACACCCGTGGGTACTCCAGATTTCCTCACCAACCTGGGGTCTGCACTGAGTAAGGCAACACTGGATGACGGCCTCGACAGTTATCAGTTCAGCCTTCTGGAGCCCAGTTCTGCCTCCCAAGGTCCGGGACCCACCACTAAGGAGGGAAAACTGCCTGGGGTGTTTCATAGAATCGCCAGCACTGGCTTCTATCAGCCCAGGCCCAGGTGTGAAGTGACTCCCAACACGAGGATCCAGGCGCTGCTGGAGAGCTAGGGAGCAGTCTGCGCCTGCTGCCCATGCCTTTTGTTTCTCCTGCCCTTCATAGCTTACCCTGGGACAGGCTCTGCTGCAGAGCCACCCTCATCGGTATCACCGGCATGGGAAGGAGGAAGGATGAGTTAGCTGTCCGCTTGCACTTCATACTGAATGTAGAACTCTACCCTCCACCCCATGCCGGCCAGGATCACCATTCCTGTCACTACTGATTCTTGGTCTTGGCTACACAGGAGAGCACATGGGGTTTGGAACCACCAGTACCTGTACCACCCAGAGATCCTTCATGAGTGCACAAACCTAGCACCATGATTCTAAGAGGCCAAAGTTGCAGTCTGGCACCATGTGACACACAGACACCTAAGCTGAAGGCTGCTGATGAGCGTGGGACTCACAGGCCTCAGGAGCCTGTGAGGATGCATTCATCAGCAGTGACTCCCTGAGAAGTACTGGCACCCAAGGACACACCTCACCCCAGCCTTCTTCATCTTTTCAAAGTCCTGTGGCTGCATAGGGACTTCCTGAGATCCATTGCTGCCCATGTCTTCCTCCAGCTTCAGTCTAGGCCAGCCCACAGTAGTTCCCTCCCTAGCTCCGCCCATGTCAGGGGCTTGCCCACCTCTACAGGCCTCTCCTCTGTCACCCTGCCACCTTGGCCAGGCACCCTGCCATCACTGCTGTGCCAATCTTGTCAGAACAGTGCGGTGAAAGGGCAGGTCCAAACCTCCCACTTCCTGGATCATTGACATGAGGCCTACTGCATCCGATCCAGTCACAGGAGGCCTTTTCCGTTGGTCTTCATCATTCTGGTCCTCACTGTTAAAAATCCAACACAGCCTCAATTGCCAGAGCCTGTGCCACCTCTGTCACAAAGCTGACTGTCCACTCCCAGGACATCTTCAAGGCGTAGCATTTCAGACACAAGCTACAGCTTCTTTACCCACAAGAGATGAAAGCACCCTGTGCTGTGGGCTGCTATTGTTCTGTTCTTGTCTGTTCTTCCTCTGCCGCTCTGGCCAGCAGAGCTGAAGTTCCTGAGAAGCCAAGGGCAGCGTGACGTTCTGAGTCTCATTCTTCCTCTGGTCTTTTGGCTCCTCTGGGGCCAGGGCCCCTTCAGTGATTTCCTTGGCAGAACTAGCAGCTCCTGTTCTTTCCTGTGAGTCCCCTGCTGTAAGCCAAGGCTCATCCTCAGCACATGTTGGGTCAACATTAGAGGGTGAAAGCTGACCTAGTGTTTCTACTTCGTGTTACCCATGATCCTGCTGGCAGTGGTGCCATTTTGTGCACATTAGCCACTATGCTTTTAGGGGAAAGAGATTTAAAAAAAAAACAAAAAACAATTAGGAAGCACATTGTTGAGTTGGGGTCTTGCTGCGTGGTCTGATTTGGTCTTGAGCCTGGGACTACAGGTCCGTACCACTGTGACTTTTTTCCAGATAGAGCTGGGGATGGAACCCAGGGCCTGTGCCTGCACAGAGACCACTGAGCTACACACCAATATCTCTATTACTATTACAGCTTTTAATGCCTGCACTGGGCATGTGAGTGTGTGTGGGGTGATGGTCCTGGGGGGGACGTGGAAGCTGGGATGCCTCCCAGTGGCCACTGAAAGGAGCCGCATATTTGCAGCAGAACCAAAGAACAACAGCTACGTGCAACTCAAGTCAAACAGCCCAGACTGCGAGTTTAGCCAGGAATGAGTAAACTCAGCAGAGACATAGTAGGCGGTCTCCACACCACACGAAAAGGAAGTACCTGCCTTTCACAGATGAAAGACACAGCAATGATATCAATAGCCAAGAAAATCCGCAGTTTATTAAGACTCAACAAAGCGCTGTATTTTTGAAAGCAACCTCTGGTGTGCGTCCAACCATCACATTCCAAGAGGAAGGCATTAAGCGCCACAAACTTTTTTCTTTTAATCTTAGAGTCAGAGACATTTTAAATTCAAAAGGTTCAAAAAGGAAAAAAAAAAAGGGGGGGGGAAGCCCACAAAAACTGAAAACATCCTTTACTTCCTTCCCCAGTGTTAAAACAGGAGTTTTTCTACAACTCAGTGCTAAATGGCAGCATGGCAAGCCGTGCGTCTGGGAGTGCACACACACGCACACGCGTGTGCATACGCACATATTTGATATACATACTTGGGTATACATACATCAAATATCTAGGACGCACGTATGGCGATGAGATGCAGTCACTCTGAGGAGGGCCATTCCGTGGGATACATGACAAAACTCGAACAAGTTTTGAACCCAGTTGTGCATAGTTCCTGATCCTCTAGAAAACAGTGCTTTTCTGCAATCTTGCAGGACTTGCTTTCTTTTTGTTTTGATAAAACCATTAAAAAGCTAATTAAAAAATGTAATGCACAAGTTTCCCGACCACACAGGCAGGGAGTACAATGTTCATATATCTTTCTAAAACATACTTGAGGGTGTGTTATTTCATTGTCTTTCTTCCTTGTAAAACAATCAAAACATTGATCATCTTTAAAACATAAAGCAATTTTTAATATATAAAGCACTCTTCAAACATCTATTTCTTTTGAGTCCATTATTTGGTAAATATGTAACTGCTACACATTAGAGATTAGGTATTTTTCTTCTTTGTGTGTGTGTGTTTTTTTTCTTTCTTTCTTTTTTCTTTTTTTTTTTTTAAATAACATCTTCAGTGCTAGGAGTTGGGTTTAAAAATACATGAAGTGGTGTGGAGCCGCCCTCGGGAGCCCTGGCGTTCCTGAGAGCGAGCTGGCGTGTGCAAGACAGAGACCACGAGGCCTCGTCACCTTGAGGAGGGTGAAGACAGTCAACAGAGTCCGCGCCGGCTGGAGGGAACAGCCTGTCCCATCCCAGAGCTCTGAAGCAACACATCTGTATCTGAAAATAGGTTTCTGTTTGTTTGCTTGTTTTTGTTTTTTTGTTTTTTTTTTAATGATGGAAGTCTTTTTTTTTATTCCTTTTAACGTTTTTAATTTTTTTTTTAAATTTTATTTTAAAGTCTGAAGGAGAAAAAACGTCTGTAAACAGGTGGGAGCACAAACACAGCTCCTCCAAAAGCAGTCAGAACCACGTCCACGTGCTCGGGCGCTCTGTGCGCATGTGCGCCGCACCCAGTCTCTACAAGTCTCTATGGCCACAGTTCAACAACAGTTTGTTTTTCTCTTTAACTTTATAGTCCAGGTGGGAAGTGGTGCAATACTCTGGTAATGGTCTTCTTGCATTAGTCCACATGAGAGGCTGCTAAAGGTAGACAGACATATTATTTCTCCAGAGATAGACACTGTAACTTTAAATCAACAACAGAGTCCTTGAGTAAACACTCACACGTGAATTGTCACCAGCCCTGTCCGAGAACTTTCTTTCCTGTTTAGGATTAGCTAAGGAAGGGCAGGGACACCTCAGTGCAAAGTTAGAAGCAAAGAACAACAATGAGAACATCTGACCAATGCCAAACAAAACCAAACAAAACCAAAGCATATACTGAGCAGAAGGGAAACCCACAGCTAAGTCCCTTGCACACTCTCAAACACGCACGCACAGTAAGCACTGACTGTGCAAGAGCACACTCACGTTCCACACGAGCACGCACACAAGCACGCACACGAGCACGCACACACGCACACGTAGGCTATGAACGTAGGCATTTCCTAGAGCCTGTTTCTGTGCACGGATGTCAACGTGGAAGTGTTCACATTTCGGTATTGGCCTGCTGGGTTCAAGTATTTGCATGTTTGATATGTCTTTTTTTTTTTTAAACTTTTAAAAAATATTTTTTGGGGATTAAAAAAAAAAAAAAAACGACATGAAAAGGTAACAAAACAAGGGTAATGTGCGCAGGCGACCCGGGGACAGAGCACTGGCCACAGGCCTCCGCTCTGTGCCCGCACAGCGCAGCGCCTGTCCCGCCGCCGCCTCTGGTAATGTGCATACTCGTCACAGGCTCACTTTAAATAGGCTTCGAGTCTCCCCACCCCCATAAAATAACCCTTCCAGCCCACAGTCTGCAAAGTGCCCTTCATGATACAACTACTCTAAGCAGCTTTGATACTTAAAACTCAAAATGACAACACACTGTACAAACATAAGACGACATGAAATAAAAAGCTATGAGGAACATCCTGTCATTAGCACATGACACTGACCAAACTCAGCCCGCACTGTTTTCAACAGTTCGCAAGGGCTGAGGCCAAGGTTCATCTTCAGAACTGGACAGAGGTACTCGAAGGGGCAGCTTGTCCATCAGGTGGAGCTTCAGAGCCAGGCCTGGCATGGTCAGCTCTCTTCTCCCCAGTGACCGTGACCCCTAGATGGACTCGCCGCTGAGCAGGTCCCCAGGCAGCAGAGTGTTGAGAGGAGTGGGGCTGCCGATCACTCTGGCGTCATCAGCACTGGGCGGGCCCCACAGGCTGCTCGAGTACTGGGGGACCCCGCCCCACAGCAGCTCACTGCTGCCCTTGCCACTCAGGCACGGGGTGTTCCAGTGGGCAGTGTCGCTGCGCACTAGGCCGTGGGTGCTGCCCGAGGTGCCCAGCCTGGGCTGGCTGCCCCCGCTGCTGGACTGCCAGCTGGAGGTTGGGGGGAGGGCTTGGCCTTGGGCCAGGAACCGGTTCACTTCTTCTTCACCAGCAAACTCAGCCAAGATGGTGGTGTTTCCCAAGACACACCTACAAGGCAAGAGGCTGGGTAAGTGTGTCACCCCTAGTCCTGAGTCTGTCCTACCAGGAAAGACAGATAAAAGTATCACCCTGTCACAGGCTACCTCGACCTAGTTTTTTCCCTCACTTTAGACTCCCAACAGCCATAGAGGACTGACGTGTGGAGTGCATGTTTAAATGTGCTGTACAATGGAGGCTCAGCTGGCATCAGTGTCCTGCATGTCAGATGACACTGTGGAGCAGGTCTGTATGTTTTCTGCATGGAAAACACCCTTAAGAAGACAATGGGCTGCCGTCAGCAACCCTGGAATCTGGGAGGGCAGGGCTCCTTTTGGTCTCTTCCTAGGGGACACACAGACAGACACAAACCAACACAGTGACTACAGGAAGACACAGGGAGAGGCCGGCTGCCTATAAGCAGAGGAACTAGGCCTCGGAAGTCAAGTCTGTCCATACTCTGGCCTTGGACTTCCAGCCTCCAGGGCACAGTTCTATTGATCAGGGCACTACCTGGGGTGCAGTGTGGGGTGCCACAGCACTCACCCGGCCTCTCCTAACACTACTGGGCACTTGTGGCTATGTGGTAGTATGAGGGGCTGAGGAGAACATACATGTGCAGAGACTTCTGGGCCTTGGCGGCTTCTTCCTTGGAACTGTAGCGGACCACAGCATTGCCTTGGGTTAGGTTCAGGTGGAATGTGACGAGAGGTCCATGCTGCAAACACAGTGTCCGCAGTGTAGAGCCATCAATCTGAGAGAGAAGCAAAGGGTAGGGCATGACCTGCTCCAAGCCTCTGCCATGTTTCGAAGCAGCAAACACTGGATGCGAGCGCTGCATACGAGGAGAAGACACTTCCTTTCACAGGCTCGCAACTGTAACCGACACTGAAAGATCCGGCTGCTCAAGTGTGGGCTACCTCAGTTACATCAGCCAGAGGGAAGAGCCAAAGTCCCACTCTGGGTTCTGCAGTTTGCAAAAGGTACAGCAGCAGGCTGGTGGTCCTGCAGTGACAGGCCTGTTCTGTACCAAAGAATGGTGACAACAGGCTGACTTTAGAGCTGAGATGGCCAACCCTCCTCAAATGGTTTGTAAGACGGATGGTTCTCCTTACAAGAGTATACTTGTCAGTTCTGGAAGGGCAAATAAGCCACCAGAAACATGGCTGAGAATCACCTGTGTTTACCCACACTCGCCTGTTCGCACTCACACCTGCCTGCACTCACACCTGCCTGCACTCACACCTGCCCGCATCCACATCTGCTCACACTCATGCCTGCCTGCACTCACACCTGACTGCACTCACGCCTGCCCGCACTCACACTTGCCTCTGCCACTCTAGGCTCTGAGGTAAGATGCCTGACATAGACAGTTATCTGCTCCAGGGGCAAAGTAGGTACCTTTGGCCATAAGCAGTTACTCATGGGTATGACATGACAGACCCTCCTGTACCTGGGGTGTGAGATTGCGCAGAACGAGCCAGCTGCTTGTTCTTCCTGAGGTGTCAGTACTCCATGCAGAACCTGCATGACAAGTCCATGGGACAAGAACTCAATCGACAGGCCATATTTTTAGTGTGAACTAAACCACACAGCAAGTCTTCCAATCCTGTGGAAGCCATGGCCCCTTTTGATAAACCAAATCTCACAATTACTGCAGATTCCATCCACGGGCCATGAAAACCCTGACCTCCCAAATATGTCTACTACCAGGAGGCCTGTCCTTTTCTGTCTGTGTTGTGAGGAGGTCAGATTTGATGGGTTGCTGAGAGTCACCTGCAGTTCTAGTCTCTGCCTTGCTGAAGCCTAGCCTTTACTTAGAACTCTGCTTAATGAAATACGGTAAGTGTAGTGGGCAGGGCTGCTGCCAGAGGCTGGGTGCTGCTCACAGAGTCTGCAGCTGTTCTGTGTAGCAAAAGGAACCCAGTGACTGCACAACATAAACACTTCAAAGGTGCCTTACTTTTTGGTGTGGCAAGCCCTTACATTTCCATGGAACCTTGTGGAGAAATGAAGGCCTCTGTGCTGGCTGGGATGGGGAGGAAGCCCAGACTGGCTGGCTGGTCTTTTTGAGGACAACATGGGGTACAGTCCATGGGGTACATGTTTCCAATGCCCTGCCAGTGTAAGATGCTCTACCTCTTTCTTAACCTGCAGGCTCCTGAGGTCTGATGAGAAGCATGGGATAAAACAGGCACACTTCTTAAGTCCCATGTAGAGTAGCTATGAGTGCCCTGTGTCCGTCAATAGGAGTTACCTGAGCAATGCTTACCAGAAGAGTAGGAGCTGGTCCAGCCAAGGGGGCTGGTGCCCCAGGTGGAGGAAGGCTTGGGATTGGCTAAGCCTGGAGGCGGCCTGGTGGGTGCAGTAGTGTTTCTGGGTACCTTCCACAGCTCATGAGACAGAGAGGCTTGCGTGTGAGAGGCTGGGCCTGAGGACCATGTTGATTTAATATCGGACAGCTTACCTAGAAGGAGAGAGATACCTTGTACATGTATCCATGCAGGGAGCTGACTGCAGCTCTGGAAGCTGGCAGGACACTGACACCACAGACGAGAAAGATCAACAGCGACAAAGCATCATAATGCAGTCTGTCTCACGCTGTCCCTGCCTCTCTGTTGCCCAAGCTGGCCTCCAACTGCTGGGTTCAGGTGACCTTTCTGCCTCAGTCTTCTGGGCTGATGAACTGATGACTGTACCACTGCTCCTAGCTTTACTCCCTTCTAACCTCTGCTCAAAGATACCATGTGCATGCTGTGTAGATTTGCTGACTGCTGATACTTCATCAGCTTGCTAACACTGGCGGTGGAGAAAACAGTAGTCTTCAAGTTTAATCTTTTTAAAAAATTTGTGTTTGTTTGACTGAGATAGGATCGCCAAGGTTGGCCTTGAGTCTGTGGTGATCTTTCTGCTTCTGCCTCTCACGTGATCAAATTCCAGGCACATGTGACTATACCTGGTTAATCTGGTGTTGGGAATGGACTCCAGGGCTCAGTGACTGCTGGGCAAGCACTCTGTCCACTGGGCCACAGCCCTAGCCTACTGAAATTCAGTCTCAGCAGCAGCTGCGCTGGGATGGTCAGAGGCATGGCCTGCACACAGGCTTCTTGTACAATGTCGGGGCATTAGTGCCCGTCAGAGAAATGCTCCTTCTCACAGACATGCTTCCCATAGCCACTATAATCTCCCAAGGGTCTAGGGACAGCCTTTTTCTATCTAGTTGTAAACACAGATGCCCCCACTGCTTCTGAACTGAGATGCAGCCCAGGCATGCTGGCTGGGGATGCAGTAATTAGAACTCACTGGGAAACACAAAAACAATGGTCACCACCAGCCCAAGTTCCCTCACCTGCCCAAGCTCCCCACCACCCCCTCACCCCCGTGTGTTCCTGAGACACATCACACTAAAGATGTGATCTACCCGCTCTCCTGCCAGACTGGCCAATAGGAGGACTATGGCTTCATAGTGAACAGACGCTAGACACTCTGGAAACAAAACGGTATCAAGAAAGGTGGGTTTTCTTCTGTCTTTTTTCTTTAGCCACTCCCCAGTGGAGGTATAAAGGTTTAAATACACTTCTCTGTCAACATTAACAGGATGGAAACAATCTAGCAGCAGCGGCTTTGTATTTGTTAACATCAGCACTGTTTTATTCTCCAGACATGGAGTGTTGCAGGAATTTCCAAGGAAGAAAAACTTCAGAACCACCTTCTTGTGGGAGTTCCATGCAGCAAGGTGCACCACACTATTTTAAAACTCTGGATAAGGTTTGATGAATACAACTTTATCCACACATCTAAGACAGTGTGTACAGATTTTATGTCTTTGTCTAAGAGAGTTTTTATAAGGCCTGATACGGGTATAGCACATGCCTTTAATCCCAACATTAGGGAGACAGATGCAGGTCAATCTCTTTAAATTTGAGTCCAGCCAGCAGGGCTATATATAGAAACCCTGACTAAAAGTTGTTTTTAATAATAAATAGTTCTCCTTTACTTTACTCCAAAAGACTTTTTTTTTCTTTTATGTGAAGGAGTTGTGAGGTCTGCAGTATCGTGAGAATGTTTCAGCAGGACGACAGAAAACAGGCTCACAGTAGGACCTGACAAAGTCTCCTCTAACCTACTTCTCACCCAGGAAGCACACATCTAGTTGCTGCCTGCTTTGCCTGTCTCACAAGCCTGTGTTGCCGCTGTGGGGAGAAGGGGGAGCTGTCCTACTCAGGTGGGACCTACATATTACACAGTCTTCACTACCCCAGGAAGAGACTTTATCACTCTCATTCTCCCTGTCCAGAAGGAGCAATGGACCCACAGGAAAATCTGGGGCCTGCCCGGGTTTTGTTTAGGGAAAGAAGGGAAAAGCTACCTGCAGGCCTAGAGGCTAATTCATACCTCCAGCACAGGACGGTGAGGCAATGCTGCTGAAAGAGCCACTGCAGCCAGAGGCAGTGAGTGGTCAGGCACTCTGAGAAGATGGTGGGAAGAACCCCATAGAAGCAAACGCACTAAGATGGGGCCCTGGAGGCGTGCCATGAGCAGTGTGGATGGGTACAGGGAGCTGTGGTGCAACAGAGTAGGGAGGAAGACAGAGCCATGTCTCTCAGCTCCTGGGAAAGCTTACAACAGACCTTCTGGAAAGTTCCAGAAAACCAAGGAGACATGGGTAGGAAGCACCTGAGGTGAGAAGGTCATGAGGATCACTGATAAGATAGGTAAAACACCATGCCAAGATGCTAAACACCACAGGGCTTCCCTCCCTAACGGAGAAGAATTTAAACACAGGCAATTCTCCTTTTTCAGCTCAAACAAAAGATACAATATTAAAAATACAAACTTCTCAATATAAGCCTTGGTATACATAAAAACAAGAGAACTTTTCTGATCCTAGATCTTAGTTCCAGTTCCAAGGGTAACAGAGGCATCTGTCCCAATCACTGTGTTCACCCAGAGCCATCACTTTCTGTTCAGAGGGACCCTTGTCCCTGCTCCTAGAGGGCATGTGGGCATTTGGGCTACTCTTGAGGCACCTGGGTTCCTCACTAGCTTGGTTTGGATCTGGCCATGGGCTTTCTTAAGTCTGACACTACGTGCTGGGGATGGGGCCAGACCTGTTGGAGGCAGGGCAGAAGGGCTCCTCCAGCTGGGACCCAGGCAGAGCTTGGCTGTTAGGCCTAGCAACACTCACAGCATCAATGACTTCTCTTCTCTCTCTTCTCTCTCTCTCTCTCTCTTTCTCTCTCTCTCTCTCTCTTTTTTTTTGTTTTTGTTTTTCAAGACAGGGTTTCTCTGTGTAGCCCTGGCTGTCCTGGAACTCACTCTGTAGACCAGGCTGGCCTCGAACTCAGAAATCCACCTGCCTCTGCCTCCCAAGTGCTGAGATTAAAGGCATGCACCACCACCGCCCGGCTATCAATGACTTCTTAAAAGCCACACTCACCCTCACACAGTCAACTGCACCACTGCACATGCTCTGTGTCTCCTAGAGTCACTTGACAGCTGACAGTAACCCCTAGGCTGTGACCTTCAGTTTTAAAAGATGTCTGCTCTACCAATAGGCCTAAGTCACTTACTCGGCCACCAACATCAGTAGTCTAAGATCACAAGATGGGTGCTGTCTTGGTTTGAGCCTTAAGAAGTTCATCTAATGGGGCTGGAGAGATGGCTCAGTGGTTAAGAGCACTGACTGCTCTTCCAGAGGTCCTGAGTTCAATTCCCAGCAACCACATGGTGGCTCACAACCATCCCATTA